GAAATTTGCATTTCAAAAAAGGCAGGGAAATTTGATGGAGTACCTCAAAGTTTGATGCAAGAACGCATGATCGCACCTGCCCGCCTGGTGCGTTCCAGCCTGGGTTTTTACTAATAATCTCAATTGCTTGACTTTCAACGAATTTTTTGATTTTGCGCCATTTTGTTCGATTTTTCTTATTTTACTCTGATCGAGGAGTTACACGAAGCCAAAGATATTCGGAAATATGTGTTGGCGGCAGTGCCATTAATTTTGGCAACACTTGCTATTCTGCTGAACGTCGCTTTCGGTATTGTGGTCACTGTAATGTGGAGGAAAAAACAACTTAGGTAATTTTCCCATTTGTTTTCAAAAGTGAACAAGGAGCCTAATGGCCTTAGGTGGCAGAACAATAATGTGATTTTGTAAGGGCCGTTAGTAGTCGCTACTGAAGCTTGACAGATTGTATTCGTTCGAATTCCTCGTAAATCCGAAAAACTTTTGAGCACGCCAATGTGCTCAGTGGCGTAGCAACGAGCTTTCTTACTTCAGTCAAGCGCAAGCTTATCTTCTGACACTGTTGAACTTTCTTTCCCAGAACTCTCTATTCACGCTCTATTGACTTATTACTTCCGCGATTGAGGCTTTTCGGTAGCATTTTGTCATTTTGCGTTTTTGCATATATGCAAATGGAAAAACATATTGTGATGAGCCCGGTATGTGTTGCATCTGTCCGGATATTTCAACTCGGCAATCAAGCAAGCTCCGGCGCCAAAATCTTTCCATTTGATTGTCCGACCAAGTGTCATCTCAGGACTGCGGTACCAACTTTTATGTACCTTTGGGTCTTCTGTACGAGCGCGTGAAAGTTTTGGCGGAAGAATCGCTACCTCAGGAACCAGAAAAGCTAAAAAACTGAGATTTTAGGGTTCCTTCGAACTATTGGTGATAAGTCACTAATCTGCAACCGTATGTCGTGAAAAAACTATCCCGTGCCTCATGTTCAGCACAGCTTGTCGGAATTTTCCCTTTTCGATTTCTAGCATGTAATCGCACTATATGCTGAATGCCTCTTTTTGATTTCTTATAGATAACCGTAATCCGATACCCCGAGCCCATATGTTGCTAGTCAGTTGCACAGTAGTCCACTCTGGCAGATTGCGCTTTTCCTGCTGTGATCACTAAGGTTATTTTGTTATGCGTTAATTCATTTCAAATAAGTCTAGTGTTTTTAGTTCTCTGCATCGCTACAGCTTCCTGCTGAGTCGCACGTTAAGCAGTGTGCTTGCTCTTGTACTCTTCTATGTCGTTTTGATCGCTTGGAAGATGGAGATATTTAGATACGCATCGGCTGCCGCATTCATCTTAGTTGGATCATTAACGTTTTTCACTGTTGCTGGTAAATTTCAGTTTGCTGAATAATGTTAAATTTTAGCTTACCATAAAGCTGCTCAAGACCTTGCAACAGTTTTCGAATTTCCTTTTTGTTTTGAGAAACTCTGTTTCTCCCTGTTTTGCCTCTTTTGACCCAATTATTAATGATTTTTCCTCAAGCATGAATGATTTCGCGACTCCTTGAAAGCAGAGGAAAACTTCCGCATTTGAGCGCTTGATTATTATTTTTTCACTGAATTTCATATTCAGCGCATACATATTCCAGGAACTTATGTTGGGATGATCACTCTACTCTACACAGCAATCGTTCATCCTCTGCGATATCGATATTCAATTACTGTTTCTAAATGTCTCGCAGCAATTGCTGTCATTTGGCTCATCTCCGTCGCTCTTTCGGTAAAAGTCTAAGCAGTTGCATGGTTCCGTGAGTTCCTTTCCTACTAAAATTCAGAGAAAATAGTGAAGGGCTTATCTGAATGAAACACTTCTTAC